GTCACCCACCCAGGCTGCCTGGCCTTGACCCGCCCTCATCCCACCCAGGTCACCTTATCAAGACCCGCACCTGACCCAATGTCCTCGTGGGTGGGGTGGGTGCAGGTGGGTGCGGGTCTGGGTACCCGGTGCTCATCTCCCCGCATTGTTGGTCTTGCCTTGTGCTTCACTGCAGCGCTGCCTTGCTGCGCATCTGCCTGCCTTGCCTTCTGCTTTTTTTGCTTGTGTGCCATGTAGTGTGGCTGCTTTGTTGGTGTTGCCTTGTGCTTCGCTGCACTGTTGCCATGCAGCTCATCCACTTGATGTGTCGTCCATGCAGTTAGTTTTTGGCATTGTGCAGTTGGGTTGCTTCACCAGTGTTGCCTGGTGCTTTGCTGAATTGTTGCCTGTTGCTGTGTTCCACTTGTGGACAGTCTGCCTTCAACAAGGGTCAAAGGGTTCATGACCCAAACAATCAATACGGGGATTCTGCAGATTGTCGAGGGTCCAGCCTCCTGATGAGTTGGTGCAACCCCGCCGAACAATCTTTCATAATCAGTTCTCGGTCTTTGCATTTTTTCGGGGATGCATTTTTCCTTTGGTTTGCTGGTTGATGTTTTTCCACTGCCTTGTGTGGATGTGTATTGTCTGCCCTCCTGCCTCCCCCATGCCCTCCAGCCTGTGTTGTCTCACTATTTTTGCCTTCCCCATGCCCTCCCTGCCCCTTGCCTCATTGTCTTACGATTCCCTGTTTGTTTGTGATATTTTATTGTGTCTTGTGGTTTGTCAGCAGCTGTAGGGATCCTCTTGCTAATATTTATCAAATCAAGACAGGACTTCCCTTGGGATTATACATGTTCCGGCTTAGTCTTTCCCTGCCTTGTACTGGATGCGCCTGTCCCAGGCGTACTTTTGTTTCACTAAGCACACAAGACTTTTGGACACACCCGTTCGAGTTTCTGCTGACAGTTAGTCGCTCCCACCAGTGCCTTCACGTTGCCCCGACTTCCGTCGGTGCTGGCCTGGCATAGAGTCCGTGCCACGGCCTGCCTGCATGCACATACACTCTATACACAATCATATGCATGTCTTCCTTTTATTATTGCTTTGTATGTGTCAGTGAGGGAGTGCCTGTAAAACTAACAGGGCGGCAGCAGCGTTTGGGATGCCTGTGCCTGTGTCCCTTGGATACTGACGGACATTTGTGAGAGTTGCTTCCTGGCTCCGTGCGGCGTTGTACTGGCGGTGTGAGTAGATGATATGCTGCTTTGGTCTGTGTTGGGTGTGTGGACTGCTTTATTTGCGCTGCTCTTCTGCTCGGTCACCCATCCACTTGCCTTGTATTCCCTCACTGTTTGCCTTATCATTGGCTTCCTTTTGCTTCACTGCTTTTTGCCTGGCTGCCTTTTGCCTTGCTGGAAGTTGCTGCCTTTCGCCTCGTCCGTATTTTGCCTCACTGCCTTCTGCCTTGCCGCCTTATCTTTCCATGCCGCTTGCCTCGCCGTTTGGCCTTGCCACTTTTTGCCTCATTGTCTTTTGCCTCACTGCCTTGTGCTATTTGTGTTGCTGCCTTTCACTTTGCTGCCTTGCATTTACGTGATGCTTGCCTGGTCATCTGGCTGCCTTTTGGCTCGCCACATTTTGCCTCGCTGCCTTGCTGCCTTGTCTTTACATGATTCTTACGTGGTCGTTTGGCTGCCTTTTGCCTTGCAGCCATTTGGATTGCTGCCTTTTGCTGTTTGTCTGCCCACCGCCTGCTTGTGCCCTCCAGCCTATGGCCTTGTTGCTGCTTGTCATCCAACACCTTGTTGCCTACCGTCTTCCCCCGAACACAAGCACTCTCATTCTGACTGTATCTGGCCGGAAACATACCCTGTATACGTTCCTTTTCAGGGTGCGTTATGTTCGGGGGAAGACGGTAACCTTTGCCTTGCCGCTTCTGCTACTGTTTGTCACCTTACAACAGGGGTTAAATAGTTCATGACTCTAAGCATTACTATGGGCATCCCATAGATTGGGGGGTTCAGCCTCCTGATGAGCCAGTGCAAAACTGACGAAACAGTCTGTCTGACTCTGTCACCATCTGTTTTTTTTTGTTTTTTTTTGGTACAGTTGTCTTCTCCTCGTATGGGGGACAGGTGTTTTTACCTACCCTATTTTTTTCTCTCTAGCCTCACACTAGCTCCCCATATCTATGCCCTACCCACAAGCCCTACAAGGCAGATAATGGATCCCATCTCTTCAAGAGAAGGAACTACATTTTTCACAAGAGCCCATTCGTACACCAAGGGAACTTAGTACGAACCTGGAGTCTAAGGCTAAGGATACTAGGGTTCTAAGGCTACCTTAAATTTACTAGCCAGGACTAGGCTATCCTAAGGTTATGGGTCTACGCCTACCTATCTCTGCTCTGTGCAGGGAGCAGCACCCAAGCTCCTAACACCTGGTGCGGGCTGGAAAGAACCGAAGACTTACCACTTACGTGCTCAACCAACTGAGCTAAACTGCTTGGCCTTTTCCGTTGTTCAATTTTTGGAGTTCTGTGCTTGTATTTTTCTTGTCCTTGATTCTTCCGTGCTTTGTGCCCTTTGCATGACACTGTTTGCATTCCTTTCATGGGCATGCGGGCTCTTATTCGAGAGTTTTTCATTTGACGTACTTTCTGATGCAGCTTCCCACGATTGCGGAGGTCCTATCCCCTCCCCCACGCACACACACAGATTTCGTTAGAGGTATCCATTGCGTATATCGATTCCTCCCCCCTCCGCCCCCCCCCACACACAGACAGTATTTGGGGACTAGTGCACTTAAAAGTTTCGCAAGGGGAGGGGCGAGGTGTACCACCACGCCCCGCCCCTCGGGATTTTTTGTGGACCCCTCTTTTGGGGGATGCACTGCATCACGTGTGTGCATGCGCTGTGCCTCCGGATTTTTTCGTGAACCCTTATTTTGGGGGATGCACCGCATCATGTGCGTGAACATGCGTGTGTGTCCCATACGCCGCACATGCACGCCACATGCACCACAGCTATGACTGGCCCCACGGATAACGATACAATCCCCTTCTATCGGACACATTGAAGGCTCAGTACTTCCACCAGAGTTGCAGACAGCAAAAGACCCAGGGCTCCATGTTTCTTCTGATTTATTCTTATCCTTTCCGGTAACTGATGAGCCACTACCATTCACTCGCCTCTTTCCCTTTAAAGGGGGGGGGGGGGACAAGCAGCAGCCACCACGTCTAACATTGCCGTATCCATACGGAATCGGACTCGTTGCTCAACAGCTAGCTACAAGCATATGCCACGCAGTCACAAGGCTGGACGTGGCAGTCACCCAACACCACTGAAAGCATAAATCTATGATGATTGCTCGGTGCCCACAACTCAAAACCCAATCATGGTATCAGCGCTCTGTGATGTTTCTCCCACCTATCTAAACTGCAAAAAAAAAGAGGATGCACAATTAACAGCCTTGAGGAAATGCCGGTAGGGGTGGAACGATCATCATGCTTACCGATCTAAGACCCTGAACCTGTCACCAATCTTCTGATCCACATCATCCAGCTCCTTTTCCAGCTTATGTAACATTCGATCAACCTGCAAAAAATGCACCAAAAAACATGCACAACATTGGAAAATAAATGGCATCAAGAGTTAGGGTAAACCACAGACGACATGTCAACATTTCACAAAGTTCAAATCGTATACAGACGTAGAGCTCTTGACGAACAAGTCATGAGTTGGAATCATGATGGGATCCAAAGCACCAAAGAGTGAAGGGTGCACGGGAGAACTGCTCAATCTCACAGATGCTCACCCCTTTGGATTGGACTCTCTATTCTGATGTCAGTGGAATCTGAAGGGACGAAGCGAACTACTGCCAGTGATTGTACAGTACTCGTGAAGCTCCCCAATGTCAGTGGAATCTGAATGGACTAAGAGAACAATTGCCAGTACTTGTTCAGTACTCGTGAAGCTCCCCGATTACAGGAGTACATTTCTGAGCCAATCTAGACATCCATATACAGCAGACCATCAGGAATATTTCCTCACAAAGGCCACAACAAATGGGAGAAGAGTGCAGGGACTTGCAAGCCAATATTCATGTAAGCCCAGGCTTTCCCATAAGAGAAAGCGAAAGTCTGTCAAGGAGAAGAGTGTAGGGACTTGCAAGCTAACATTCATGTAAGCCCAGGCTTTCCCAAAAGAGAAAGCGAAAGTCTGTCAAGGTGCGGGGCGTAAATTTGGAAAACCATGGCTGAGATGAGGATGCGCATGGAGGTGGGAGAATAAGCAGGACCTGCAGAGAGGCAAGCAATCCGCTTTCACTCACATGTGACAATCTGGACAACAGATTGCCAAATTAAAGCCCTGCATTGGAAGGTCATGGGACTCGTAACGAGAATACGATAAGAACAAGAAAATTTGTGCAGAAAAATACCTTCTCAATCAGCACAGAAGACACTTTGCTTCCCGGGTGAACGAGAGCGTCCAGCTGATCTTTGTCAACGGTCACCCTATCACTTGCTTCTCTTGCGGCCTGGTAAGCCTTCTTTGCCTCTTCCTCATGCTCTGTCCCCTCCTTTTCCACCATACTGTTGTACAAGCCTATCTACTTTTCCGTCATCCCATTTTCACCAAAGCACACAGAGACAACACAACAGGCCGGTTCATCAAACAACACAGCAACACACACAACGACCAAATCAGAACAAGGTTTGGCACCAAGAACTCTTTCTGCGGGAAGGATAACAGGAAAGAGAGCAATAGACTCCTGAAAAAAAAAACCTAGGATACCAGCCAGGCCGCCCGGATCACCTTGTTTGCCCGGGCGGCCCGTGTCCGTGCAAGGGCCAAAGAAGGTCCTAGCAACAAACAAAAACAAAAAAAAGTTTAAAAACAAAAAAATCTGTTATGCAGAGAAATAAACTGAACAACTTTTGCGTCAGGGTCACATCGAAATTCTTTACCAAATTTTAAATAAAAAGTAGTTTACATAATATATCGTCACAAACAGAACTGCCCGGTAAAACCGTAGGCACAGAGAGAGAAGAGGACAACAAACGAGGGGCTGTGACAAACTGTTTCGTCGGAGTTTCACCGACTATATATTGTCACATAACTATATACATACAGGGTAACCGGCGTTCGGGACGGGCCGAACGCCCGAACCCGAACGCCCGAACGTATGGGACCCCTTGGGGATGCGTTCGTCTTAGGGCAGAACGCGGACCCAAAAAAAAAAAATAAAAAAAAATCAAAAAAATCTGAAAAAAACTGTGTTACACTCGGGCCGCCCGGCAGCCCAGCCTTCGTCCGGCAGGGGTCCCTGGCGGCCCAGCCGGTTGGGTCCCCCGGTTTGGCGCCGGGCGGGCCCAGCGCATTTTTGCGCGCGGGGGGGGGAAGGCCATTTTCGAAGTGGTTTGGCCCGTGGGAGCCTCCCCGCCCNGCGGGGGGGGGAAGGCCATTTTCGAAGTGGTTTGGCCCGTGGGAGCCTCCCCGCCCCCCGGCGCAATTTTTTTCGACGGGCGGCCTTCGAATTCGAACGCACAGTTCGTCGAAGAGCTGCCCGTTTTATTTTTTTGTTCACGTTGCCTGCCGTCGCTGCCCGCCGTTGAAGAGGTTCCCGTCGCTGCCCGCCGTCGAAGAGGTGCCCGTCGTTGCTGCCCGCCGTCGCTGCCGTTGCTGCCCGTCGTCGCTGCCTGCCATCGCTGCTGTTGCTGCCCGTCGTCGCTGCCCGCCGTCGGAAAGCTGCCCTGTCGTGGTCAATACGGTCCCGCTGTGGTATCCGCCTCCACCTCCTTTCTTCCTCTTCTTCTTCTTCCTCTCCGCCGCCTCCACGTCCTTTCATGTTCTTCTTCTTCCTCTCCTCCTTTCCTCCTCTTCTTCTTCTCCCCCTCCACCTCCTCCTCCTTTCGTCTTCTTCTCTCGTCGTCCTCCTCCTCTTCCTCCTCCTCCTCCTTTTCTTTTTCTTCTCTCCTCCTCCTTCCTTTTTCTTCTCTCCTCCTCCTTCCTTTTTCTTCTCTCCTCCTCCTCCTCGTCCTCCCTTCGTCTTTTTCTCTCCTCCTTTCTCCTCCTCCTCCTCCCTGCTTCATTGGTTTTCTTTAGTAGGCGAAGTGCCACGTGTCGGGATTTCTCTCTCTCTCTCTCCTCCTCCTCCTCTGTCATTTTTTTCCCCTTTTTCGTCAACGCCATACGAAACCGGCAGGTCCTTCTCCTCCTCCTCCTCCTCCTCCTCCTCCCTTCGTCTTCTTCTCTCCTCCTCATCCACCTCCTCCTCCTCCTCCTTTCTCCTCCTCCTCCTTCCTATTTCGTTAGTTTTCTTTATTGGGCGAAGTGCCACGTGTCAGTCTCTCTCTCTCTCTCTCTCTCTCTCTCTCTCTCTCTCTCTCTCTCTCTCT